TACATTAATGGGAAACCCTAAATGTTTGAGCACGCTCTATGAAAGGTCAAGCTACCCCCAAAAGAAATCTCTGGCGCCGCCACTGAGCCTGACTATTTGTGTTGGGGGGGCCCGACTTTTTTTTTTCTCCAAAGGGGGGGCCTGACCGAAAAAGTTTGAGAACCACTGGGTTAGAGCGATGAGAATGTCCGTTCGGCACCTCATGACGCATCTACTGAGTACCGGGTGGCTGTATATATATATATGGATGTATAATAAGAACGGCGGGAGAGTGTTGAGTACTGGCACGGTGCATGAGTACCGGAGTACCGCCAGCATGCCGGTACTGAGCAAGAAGTGCCGGTACTCCATGGGTCAGAACCAGAAGTGCCGGTACTGCGTACCGGTGAGTACCGGCCCAATTCCAGCACTGACTATAGGACAGAAAACCAAAAATATCGTTTAAAACTGGAGATAAAAAAAAAAAAGCATGAATAAATAAATGTTAACTAGGTAAAATAAGATATGAATGAACAACAAAAATAAAATACGTTACATTTATTTGTTATTGGCTATGGGTTGTTGGTTATGTTCACATACTTATTTGATTATTAAAATGTAAACCGATCTTTTTCATATGGGTGTTTTAGAGTTGTACCCCCTAGATCTAGTCTCTAGTAATTCTGCTCAAAGTGCACTAGATTGAAGCATTTTACTTTAAATGTTAAAAAAAAATCTTTCCGGGGGGGCATAGCCCGGACCCCCCTAAAGCAGTGTTTCTCAAACGTTTTCATACCAAGGACCACTTAACCAATAAAAAAATCCTCACGGACCACCTAACTCCACAAATATCCAAAGATACATCGTCTTTCTAGAACAGATTACAAATCGCCTGAAAATGGTACAAACAAGTGGCAACATGTGTAATGAAGGTGTCGTGCTGGGCTGAAATTTAAGCTTGCTCCATTGCGAGATTAAATTAATTAATTAATTTAAAATGGGACATTTTACCAATATACTCACGGACCACTAGGGGGGCGCTCACGAACCACACTTTGCGAAGCACTGCCCTAGAGGATGTGACGTCCACCCCCAATTAAAACATGTTCATACAATAATGAATACATTTGAAACCTTCTTTATGTATATAACCAACATGTCAATACGTTTCAGTTTTTGTAGAGATTTTTTATTTATTCTATTGTGTATTGCTTGGAGGGGGGGGGGGGGGGTGCACCAAATCATAATCTCGCCTTGGGCACCAAAATGTCTAGAACCGGCCCTGCTGGGACGTATACTTTTACTATAAATGCTGTTCATGGGCAAAGTGCATGCAATATGGCATCATGACTTCATCAACTAATAAATGTGTGAGATTGTACATGTCATTTTGATTCAGGCTTTATGCTTGTTGTAAACATTGAGCAACAAGTAGCGCGGCTTACCTTCTCTCTCTCTCTTTTGGCGAATGCATTCCGACGTGTAGGAATCGGCGTGGTGGCTTGTGCTGGCAATGGGGGTCTTGGCAGTATTGTTGGAACAGCATCTTTGTTCAGTTTGAAATTCTTTTTGAATCCAATTTCCTTAGCGAGCATTGTGGATTGTTCGAAACACGATCTCTCGAAGTGCTGCCCACAAATTGTCGGTTTCATCGACCCCGCATTACCTGGTCCAGCAAAGTCCGCCCTCGTACAACGCACTTGTTCTGTCCATATACGCGACATTTGATCATTCTTTGGCCACAAAAACATCCCATAGCCAGCTTTGGAGACGGCCCCACATCCCCATACAACACATCGCTTGCCGATTATTCTTGACGTCTTATTGCTGTGCATCCTTTGTTTTAATATTTGGCTCTTCAATGCATTCAATGGCGACTCAGCTGTGTTCTACTCATGACGTCACCGCCGGAAATGACCGAAGTTGGTTTCCAGCGCGACGAACGATAGTTAACGGACAACCTTTGAATGCTGTTATAAATCGTGATTTATTCAAAATACATCAATAATACATTTTTAAAAATGGCACATTTCACAATACAAATGGCTCTGTGCACAAGATGGCATCTATCAACTTCCGGCGGCTGGGTGTGCGGTTGTAAACTTTCGGTCTACAATGTGGGTGGTTAGATGGTTAGATGGTTAGATGGTTAGATGGTTAGATGGTTAGATGGTTAGATGGTTAGATAGCATACATATAGCGATATAGTTAGCATAGAGAGATAAATAGATAGATAGATAGATAGATAGATAGATAGTCAGACAACTGCTTGACCTTTCATCTAGAACCCACCTCACCTCAGCCCACTTTGACAACCTAGGATGGCTTAGAGTAGACGACAGAGTACAGCTACTTGCAATGGGCCTGGTCTACAAGATCCACTACACCTCTATGGTACCCATGTACATGTCAAAATTATTCCCAAAGGTCAAGGAGGGAGCTCCACAAATCATGTGAAACCCAGATTTGGCACAAAAAAGGGGGAATACACGTTTCGCAATTATGCCACATCAAGGTGGAACGCTCTTCCCACAACTGTAAAGGAAAGTAAAACTATACTTACCTTCAAAACCTCTCTTAAAGAGCACCTTCGGGGGAGAGCATTGCAAAACTGGCCCCGGTAATGGTACAAATCTCAACCTGTCGTTCAATGGACAGCTTCCCCCCCCCCCATCTATGTATATACTCGCATTTTAGACTCTGTTACTAACTGTATATCTGTAGACTTGGTATGTCTTAAATGTCCGGTTAGGATGTATTAGAACGAAATCTAAAATGAAAATTGTAAATAAGCAATCTGTATGTAAAAAACCACCTGTATGTAAATTGTAAATAAGCCATCTGTATGTCAAATATGTCTTATATGTCTTAAATGATATGATGAATTGGAAATGGGGGACCCTGATGTAAACAAGACGAAAGTCTTTCTCTGGTCTGCATCCCCTTAACAATTGTATGTTTTGAGCTGTACTGTACTGTACCCAATATACAAGCTGTTAATAAACTTTTCAATCAATCAATCAATAGATAGCATACAGATAGCGGTAGAGCAAAGTGAGAAGGCTAACGTTAACGTGATGGCACTATTTTACACTCGATGTCTCCAAGACCTACCGAAGGTTAACATCAGTGATGTACATCGGCTGGTAAAAGCGTCAAGCTCAGCCCCGAGGAGCAAAAGAGAAAAGGGGTTCAAGATGTACATATCCAGTTACATCGACAATTATGAAGGTAAGTGACAAACAAAGCTGTAGTTACTGGCTAATTTTGACAACTTGACAGTCTTGATACAGTGTAAAGTGTTTTAATGATGTACTATTACGTTTTTTTGGATAACATGAATGATGTCCAATTCCCCAGTTTCAAACAAAGATCTACCTTCAGGGAGAGTGAGCATCAGGGCTAGCTGTTACAGGTCCATGAGAAAGCATGAAAAGCCTCACGATCTCAGAGTAGGGAGAAAAATAAAAAGTGTTCATCGGTTCAAAGCGTCAATCAGGTTCATGTTCTGGGGTTTTGATGTAGCTAAAATGACTGACATTTTGTTTTACTGTGTAGATTGTCTTTGAGAACTGCTCACCTGTGGAGTTTTCAAGGCTTCGTTCTCGTCGGCCACCTGATTTGCCATCACTGTCGTCGCTGCATTTAAAGAGTCATGATCCGGTGGTGCCACCTCGTACTCAGCTGTCAAGTCCGGGGTGGGACTCTCTGCCCTCGGCCGACGCTCCCAAACATTACGTCTTGGTGTAGGTAGCTCGTAGTTATTCCATGCAAAGAGAACAGGTGTAGCTCCTTTCTGTACTCTGTTCAGTCCTCCAGCTGTGACCAATAAGTCTCCTGGTCGAAAATGCCAACTACACACACGGGTATTTTTTGTGGGGCTGAAATTGTCCCTACGGACCTTGATCAGCCACTGAGCCTTTACCTCAGCATCAATAGGAAATGAATGGAAACTTATCTCCCGATTATAATGGGACGAATTTGTACAAAGGGGCACACAGCAATGTAGTGCCGACTTTCTTACCCACTGGAAGGCCAATCGCTGTTCTTTACCTCTCATCATCGATGCTATCTATCGCTAACTATATCGCTATCTGTATGCTATCTATCTATCTCTCTATATCTCTCGCTATCCACCCGCTCAACCACTCCACACCGTAGACCGGAAGTTTACAACCGCACACCCAGCCGCCGGAAGTTGATAGACGCCATCTTGTGCAACTAGCCAATACCAAGCCCACTAACAGGTGCTAATTGAGAGGCGAAGTCCCTCCCATTCCGGGGGACCTCCATGGGACCTTATTTCGCAAAAAGTATGTATTGAAGTCAATGGTGAGAGAAAGATTATCTTTCGATCCCGTTTGAATTGTGCCACGAATTACACATATGATGTTTGTCAATTTAAAAGATAATTTTACAAGTCAAAAAAATAAAAATGTGTCGTAAAACTGTGAAGTAACACTTTTTTTTGTGTGAAACCGCTCAATGAACTGCATCTCCCGTCTCGCACCACACACCAAGACGGCCGTCACGTTGAAACATTTCACTTCTTTCTTTCAGAATGAGGCGGAAAGTATTAAACGAGGTGAAAATCACTACAAGTCTGGGCACGTTGAGAGCTGTACACAAAAGGGGAGTTAGTCGGTTCCGTAAGAGCCAGCATGCGGGACCGGCTTTACAAGGTTTCTGTGAGTAACACAAGTGTAATGTGTAACGTTAATGACATCACTTACGCGACTCTGGGATTTGTAGTCTTTCTAGTTGCGTATTTTTCATAGTCTTATATTTCAACAGTTTTACGACAAACTGTGACTTTTTTGACATGGAAATTATTTTGTAAGATTGACAAACATCATATGTGTAATTCGTGGCACAATTTAAATGGGATTGAAAGATAATCTTTCTCTCTCCATTGACTTCAATACATACTTTTTCAGAAATAAGGTCCCATGAGTCGGAAGTAGATAGGCGGGACTTCGCCTCTCTATAGCATTTCGTAAGCTCTTTAAAGATGTTCTGACCTGCAGTCGAGCCAGTATGGAGGTCTTCTTGGAGTTTGATGAATACGAACGTGAACAAGACAAACTGCAGAATCGCTTCGTCTTGGAGAAGAAGGTGTTTAAGTCGCCGGTGGTGCCGCACATCTCACACACCACTGGGAAGATAAATAAAAACATTGGGCATTAAACACCCTCAACTCTTTTCTACAGTCCCTTTGTATTATAAGGATGTTTTGTAGAGAATTTAAATCCTTCATTTAGACTGAATATTTCCATTTTTAGTTCCTCATTTACTCCTCACCTGTCTGTTCTTCACTTTTCTCTCCCGGCATCATCCCTCCTCTTGTCGGCTGCTCTTCGTCACTTTCTCCCGTGCTTTCATCAGACTGAACGGGCGCAATTTCAATATGTTCTCCCTGATTACAGATACAAAAAACTAAGTGGTAAATAGGAGGTGTAAATGTAAAATGGGACCAAACCACCAATAAGCGCTACAACCCCAGTCCTGAATGAGTGTACTTTGGTCGTCTCTTAGTCAATTTGCAGTTATCTTTGTGAAGATGTTTGGTTCTTTTTTTGTTAATAATGGCTGCAGATATTTTGTGTTTTAATCTGGTTGTTTGCCACAAGTCGTTGTGAGTCTCCATGCAGTATGTTTTGGTCTCTTCGTAATCATTTGAAGTTGTTTTGTGTGTCTCTGGTTTTAACCACATTCAAAGTAGTTTAGAGTCTTCTTGCAACTGTTTGATGTCTCTTTGTAGTCGTCTTATTTATTTTGGTAGTCATTTTGTGTCTCTTTCTGGTAAGTCTCCTGCACCTCTTTGCACTTGTTTTGGTCACTTTGGGTGTTTGTCTTTATTTTTGGTAATTTAATTTAAATAAATGCTGGAAGGAGTCCCCATTGACATCAGGAGAGCAGGAACTCTACAGATATTCAATCGCAAACTGAAAACCAATTTAATTTAGCTTGTACCTTGGCCATTAAATCAAAATAAATTTAAAAAGGGGGGACACTTAAAGGCGGGGTAGGTAATTCACTTCAGAAACACTTTTTGTTATATTCCATGGAATGCTCTTAACATCCCGATAGCAATGAATATATGAAATGCTTTGACAATAAATACATAAAATATTTCCTCTGTGGAAGCCGTGGCGCTGTAAAAAGCACGACCAATCATATGAGCCGGCCCGGCTAAAGTAACTGGATGGCCTACCTGCCTGTCAGCCTTTCTGTGCACAAACTCATCTCGTGCCCTCATTGGTCATGTGCGTGTTCGTGTGTGTTGGAGGAGGGGCTCTGTAAGGAAGTCTGAAGGAAGGGGCAGATTTTTCTTCGGCTGCGTACTTTCAAATTCTAGCGCACTGGAGCTGGTTTCTCCATTCGTACCTACCCTACCTTTAAGACTAACTAATGCCTCAGCACATACAATGGTCTGTCTTACTTGAAGCAAATATATCTGCACTTTTTGAGTTGCTTCTTTATGATTTATTGCACTTATTGTAAGTGACTTTAGATAAAAGCATCAGCTAATGTAATGTGATTTAACATAATGTACATTTTGAGTCTCTTTGTCTCTTTCAGTAATCCCTCCATGACTTTACATCATCAATGTAAACAACCAAGAGGCTCGTTTGAAGCACTTAAAGAAACGTTCTCTCCGCAGTGACCTTTCCATCTCCAGGATAATAACTACTCACACTTGTGCGCTCTCTCGGTTCTGCAGTAATGCCCCGGCGTTGGATGGCAGGCAGGCAGTGAATGCATCCCACGCCGCTGCAGGAGGAACATCTTGGACGGATGAATATTGTCGGAGCGGCTCCAGTTTTCAGTTTCAGAGCTCCAGAGGGGAGTTTGGGCTCAAAGTAGTCCCTCCCAAAGTGCTCGCTGCACAGGTGGGAGTGGGGCGTGGCGACCCATTGGCTCCGGGTGCGCTGGACCTGCTTCTCCCATTTGCAAAACTCGTCTTGGTCCTTGGGGAATTTAAACAGCGTCACATCATCTTCTGCAGTTTTGCCGCATCCATAGGCCACACAGTGGTAAGGCATCCTGTGACGACATCAAATATGAAACAGAACACAGTCAGAGCCATGGTCAGCTGCAAGTCATTGTCGGTCTATATTATTCACGAAACTTCCGAAGTACATTTAAAAAATTTGCTCAAAAATCTTCTCCGTATAGGGGGGTAGTCTGGGCTCATTTGCACCCTTTAAATTGTATTATATATACTATTTTGTATGTTCTTTCCCACTATGACTATGTATGTCATTAAGTAAATGTAAATGCTACTAGTATACAAACTGTAGTATCATATAATGTCCTTTGTTTTCTGTCATGTTTGTATTAATGTTTGGAACTAATTGAAGCAGGTCACCATTGTAAAAGAGGTCTATGATCTCAATGGGTTTTATCTGTATAAATAAAGGTTTTGAATTGAATTGAAGTATGGTTCTTTATTATTTCTTGTTGGCTGTTCTGTTTGTCTTCTATGTTGAAAAAGGGAAGCATAATTTCCACCCAAAGAAGTCTGTACTATTGCTTACACTTGTATGCTTCTTCGCAATACAAATATTTGAAACGAAAAATCCTCTCTGTATCATAAAGCATACACTAACTGTGTGTGGGTATGTACAATTCTCCTTTGGCTTAAGATGGTGAAAATAGGATGATGGATGTTGTTTTCACTTCATATTGAATTGCATGAAATTGCATTTTGTTTTCTGTATGTTTGACTGTGTGTGTGTGCGAGAAAAAATAACCAATGCTAGTACTAATGAGGATCCTAATACAGAATAAAAAGGACCACAAACGCCACACAGAACCCAGCAGGACGTTTTTCTATGAGCTCTGCAGAGAAAAAGTGATAAACAGATGTTTTAAGTCTACAACAAAAATACATTCAATTTTGAAGCAAATGCAGCCTATAGACAAAAGGCTGAAATACATCATAGTTTGTATTAGGACTGAAACTTTTTTCATTATGGTTGAATCTCCCAATTATCTTCTTGATTAACTGTTTGGTTCAAAACATGTTAGATCAGGGGTTTCAAACTCAAATACACAGTGGGCCAAAATTAAAAAATGGGTACTCGTCGAGGGCCGGACTGGTTCAATGTTTATTGCAGAACTTATTGAAATGAACTTATTGCACATATTAAACCTGGAACTAACAAAGCTTAAATGATTGCCTATAAAAACAACATTAAACATTAAATAATCAGCTGCATTCATTTCTTATGGCTCTATCTGCAGCTTTTCCAGAGTCATTTCTTATGATTACATTTTTCCACAGGCCAACAACAGCTTCAACAAAACTATTCCCCTCAAAGAGAAAACCAAACATGCCCTGTTGTCGTGAGAGAAAGTGCAGAAGGAAACATCCATTAAACTCAGTGTGCTGCTCTGTGATGCTAGCTCAGATACTTGGCATCTCATCTTGGGTGCAGGGTCATCAATGTTTGGGCTCAGGCTCTGAGCGGAGGAGACCCTCAGGATGGAGTGAAGGTGTGCGTGCAATATACCGGCGGGCCAGATCTAATAGTGATTACAAATTATCCTGCGGGGCGAAATTAAATGTTTGTGTCACTGAGTTCAATGGATGCTTCCTTCTGCACTTTCTCTCACGACAACAGGGCATGTTTGGTTTTCTCTTTGAGGGGCATAGTTTTGTTGAAGCTGTTGTTGGCCTGTGGGAAAATGTAATCATAAGAAATGACTCTGGAAAAGCTGCAGATAGAGCCATAAGAAATGAATGCAACTGATTATTTAATGTTTAATGTTGTTTTTATAGGCAATCATTGAAGCTTTGTTAGTTCCAGGTTTAATATGTGCAATAATTGCACGCACACCTTCACACTTGAGTTTGACACATGTGTGTTAGAGAATAGGAAAATGTGATTAGTAAGTCCAAGGTGATAGATGTGGTTAAGTTATTTACTATAATATGATTCAAAACAGAGAAAAGAGAAAAGCTCAATCTCCTTTTTATCATTTCTGTTGGTTCTTGGTGAAGTATATTTCTTAGTCTTAAATGATGCATTCCACTTAAATGATACAGTAATTTCTTACCGAAATGTATGATGAATAATGCCACTTGGGTAACATATTCACCTTAGAAATAACTAATAAGCACAGAGTCTAAAATATGTGAACTAAGCCACTATAAACCAGAACTTCAAAACATTTGATATACAAGAAGTGCACACAGAGTAAAAACATTACCAGCAATACCCTGAAAAACAGCCGAAATAAGGACATTTCTGAATGAAATGTTGCTGCCAAACTCTCTGTTTTAACCAACAAGTCACAGCCTACATTTATAATCAAACATAAACAAAGTGTGTGTAGCTCACGTGCTACTGTACATGCAAGCTAACTGCTAAAATTGCTAACAGCAAGTTTGTCTTTTTATGAAACACAAATTATCTTCTTGTTACTTTAAAGTCTCTACTTACATAAAGGTTTAGGCCCTCAGTGAAATGTTTCGTACAGCAGTAAGACTATTCTGGACCCTAAGCCCAATGTGTTGTGGTCGCTTACTTTTGACGTCATCGCATTTACTTGTTGCGCCCTCGCAAAGCATTGTGGGAGTTTGAGTTTTAAAGCATTGGAACGAAATCGTTTCAGCTCCTAATCTCAAACAGTCAGAAGTTGAACGTATTTTAGTATATTTAGCTAAGTACAGTAGAGAAGTACAATTTTGAGGTACTTATTCTTCCTCGTATGTTACTTGCTACCTCTCAGAGGGATATGGCTTACAATTCCACTTCACTGACAGCTTTGGTTACCTTTCAAAATATGATTTTAACACACAAAACATATGAAAATGTACCCATGAAACAATACATTGATTAACCAAAGAAATGACTGACAATTATTTAGATCATTTCACTCTTTTTCATTGTAAAATGTTGCTTATAAGGCTACTTAATTTACTTACATCTCCATCTCTGTTTTGGAATAAATTACCAATACCTCTGAAATGTAGTGGAGAAGAGGCATAATGATGCATAAAGTGGAAATACTACTACTATTAGTAAGACTTGAGGACATTTAATTAGCTATTTTCCACTACATCTAATATTAATCCAATAATCTAATGTACCTTTTAATTGTAGCCTAAATGCTTTTAAACATCAATAACATTTTTCAAGATTGAAGCAGAACTTTTAAATCAAGCTGTGTATTGAAGATTAATCTTGATTGAGATATTGCAATAATGTATGAGTTAATAACTGACCAGGCCTTTTCTAAAGTTAAAGAAATAGCCTGACAGTTTGACCAGTTATAGCAGAAAAGCAGGTGTTACTGATAATGTTAATGATGCCTCTGTTCAATTAAGGCACACATGTCAAACTCAAGGCCCGGGGTCCAAATCAGGCCCTTGGTGGATTTAATTTCGGCTCGCAGGATAATTTCTAATCACTATTGGATCTGGCCCGCCGGTATATTGCACGCACACCTTCACTCCATCCTGAGGGTCTCCTCAGCTCAGAGCCTGAGCCCAAACATTGATGACCTTGCACCCAAGATGAGATGCCAAGTATCTGAACTAGCATCACAGAGCAGCACACTGAGTTTAATGGATGTTTCCTTCTGCACTTTCTCTCAGGACAACAGGGCATGTTTGGTTTTCTCTTTGAGGGGAATAGTTTTTTTGAAGCTGTTGTTGGCCTGTGGAAAAATGTAATCATAAGAAATGACTCTGGAAAAGCTGCAGATAGAGCCATAAGAAATGAATGCAACTGATTATTTAAAGTTTAATGTTGTTTTTATAGGCAATCATTTAAGCTTTGTTAGTTCCAGGTTTAATATGTGCAATAAATTCATTTCAATAAGTTTTGCTATAAACATTGAAACAGTCCGGACCTCGACTAGTACCCATTTTTTATTTTGGACACCTCTGAATTAAGGTGTCCCAAAATGAAGTTACAGTGAGCCAGCAAACACAATACAATGACCCTGAAACTGAAGCAGCTGATTTGTATTTGGGCATTATGAATTAGATTATTTACACGTCATGTTTTGTCTACTGTGGCCTGTTAAAGTGTCTTCAGTGAAAAAGTCTATTTGTAAAAGAGAAATGATAATTGATAATGATAATTGTACAACCATGGAAATTACAATAGCTTGGGTGAAAATGTTTAAGCAAGGAATTTTCTCAACAATAAACGAGTACATAGCATTAATTCTGTAGTAGTAATGCCTTAATCAAAGACACTATACAATACTTATCTAGAGAAATTATCTATTTATCCGAAAAATATATGAATTTATTTTTACGTTATCATTAATATGCCTCTAAAATTTTTCACAAAGTTTTATATGACTCATTTAAGGCCATTATTTACATTAATATCCATGTGTAACAGGAAACAACACACACAATGCGGTTACTTGAAACAGTTTTTACTTTGTAGGGGACTATTTATCCAGCATATATCAAGTCAGATCATATTACTTATTACTTACTTATTTATGATTTATGTATAACATAAGTAGAATCCTTGTTTCTTTCCACACAGACACACACACATTGGAGAGAATGCAAACACATTTATATCCCCAGATTGATAAGTTAGTAAGAAGAAAAATACATAAAGATCTTGGGCAATGCCTGATTAAGGCCCTTCTTTTTTCCAACCCTGCACAAACAGCTTCTGACAACTTTTTGTTAATATATCGATGCTTGTTTTGCATAAAAAACAAGTAAGAAGGTAAGTGTGTCCTTGAGATATCTACATTCATTTGTTGTAATGGTGTAGTTGTTAAAATGACATCTTTGGTTTGATTCACCACACTAGTATTCTGTGTCATGAATAAGGCAATGAATGAATGGCTGTGGAACACTTACACCTATTCTGCAGATACTGTCCCAGCTCTTATACTGATGCAGGTTTAGAAGGAAATGTTCATTGTTTTTCGAAAGCTGGAAGTTTTGGGATGATTTTGAACACTTTTCCTGGAGTAATTGGATGTTTTGGTACAAGAAAAAGTCATGAAGAATATATTTTTCCAGCCATGGAGCCAACATGCAGACAGAGTCAAAACCAGGACAGGCTGCATAGTCAACATGTTACCTATGAGAAGACAAGCAAATCAAAAAAGGCATGATTTGGTTTTAGTGAATGAATCAAGTTCGTCAAATCGTCCTTTCATGCAAAGAGCTTTCAGTGTGTGTGACGCCAACATCTGTCTGCTGCACAACATCCTTATTTTATTCTTGTTAAAAGGCTGAAAATCGGATCAGCAATTAGATTACAAACTTGCATTTAAAATAACTGTTGCACATAATCCAACTTTAATCTTTGCAACTGTACCTTATCAAAAAGTTCAGGTTGATGGATGAATGAATGTCATTACAAATAACTTGTTTATTACATGCCAATCCCAGCTAAAAAGCATTGTTATTTTTCCTTATTGCATCATTTAAGATACATTTAGAAGAAAAATCCAACTTTTTGCTGCTGAACCTCACCAAAAAGCATATGCAAATTCAGGCTGCTGCATGGATGAATTCCATTACAAATACATGCAGATTCCAGCTCATAAGTATTACCAATTTCCTTATTGCAGCTGCACATTGTCCAGTAGTATTGTTTTTCATATTGCATCCCCTCATCCTTTACCCGCTGCCACCAGCAGCTCCACCACCGCCACCACCATCACTTCGCAGGCAAATAAGCCTCTTCTGCCCGACATTATCTCCATCCAGACTCCGCTGAAAAAGGAGGTTCAAATGACGGATGAAAGCATGGCCGAGAGACCAGGGGACAGTGTATTTACATCCGAAGAGGCTGTGCAAGTTTAGAGGGGAAGCCTCTGCGTGTGTCTCCCCCCCTCCTCCTCCTCCGCTGGCAGAAATTTATAAAGAACAAAAAATCCGACGAGGGAGGGAGGGAGGGGGGTTGATATTCGCCGAGGCTGAAATCGAGAGGCGAACCCAGGGAAAGAGGAGTGTGATTTCTACACGGGACTTTCCCCCTCTTAGTCCCCCGCAAAAGGAGGGGGAAAAGTCGCAATATTTTGGAAAAACCAGGAAGGAATGAGCTTCTAAGGGGGGCGTTTTGCAAGTGTGGATACTTTATATATATTTTTATTTCGGGAAAAATATGGCCGAGAACGTTCTGGACTCTGGCCCGCCTTCAGCCAAGAGGCCTAAACTCTCCCCGCTGTCCGCCTCCGATGGGAACGGTACGTGTTTTTTAATGGTATAATGTGGTGGTATTTGTTTAGTTAGCTCAGGTTTGACTTTAGGGAGGGGTACATACGAGTGGTGGGATTCAGTTTTTACCGTAGCTTGCTAACTGTTAGCTGTGAGGAGTGTGTGTCGGACGTGAAGAGCAGGTTCCCCGCTGCTAGCTCAGATGCTAACAGCCATTTTAGCCGGAGGTAGCTACGTTAGCATTGAGGCTAACGCTAGGATAACTATCAGAATCAAGCCCAACAGCAGGAAGAGCGCCGGACGTTGAAGCACATTTTGCGTAGTGGCCAAATGGTGGTACTACAACGTATGTGTCATTGGGCCCAAACATACTTTTTCCCATTGACTTGCATTCATAGATGTCAGAATCATAAACAGGTTTTTTGCCAAGTAGTTTTACACATACGTGGAATTTTCCTTGGTGTATATGGTGCACACATAAACACAGAAAACGACCAAGAAATATATACTTTATTTATCCCAAGTTGGGAAATTGTACAAGAATGACAAACTGTCTTAAAAATAGAATAGATAGAAATATAAAATACATATTATTCAGAAGAGTATCTTAGAATAAACATTATAAAATATGCAGATGGCGGAATTTAAGGCAAGCAATAACAAAGAGTAAGCTAATCTATTAAATATAGAGGGAAAAGCACACATTATTAGTAATAGAACAAATAAAAATAAAGACAAATAAATACACAGCCATGGCTTTAAAAACCCTCAAAATTAGCTTGATAAACTACCCATCACCTTTGCAGCCCTTATTTGAATCATTAGGGTCTAAAGAGTTGTAAAAATACACTAAAAGCTGAATCCAGAGTTATTTCTCCATTCATTTGACAGCTCAGTGGGAGAAAGCTCTACTGCGCATGCTCAATGGGCCCACATACGGGTACTTTGCTCAGGCCTTTTTGGCTCTATACGCCACTTTGCATCTCTCATAGGAATGAACGGTATCCAGTTTTCTCTCTAAATCCATGGTAGCTCTGTTAGCATCTCGGCTAACCGAATGCGGGTCCTCCACAGACTGTCTAATGGCTACTTTAGCCGGGGGGATGATAAACTCCATGCCATGCCGACTTATCATGAAGTAATTTAGTGTATTTACACTTGTGACCAATTGACAGTCAGCTACAGTAAACCCCCATTGTGTTATTTTAGTTTTTAAGGCGTCTAAAGCAGTGTGTTGTGTTGCCCCATCATAACTCAGACCCTTTCCCAACTAGCGTTAAATTCAATATATTCAAAGGATTTATTAACATGTAGCTACCGTGTAGTAATGGCAATGAACATATTATGTCCAAAGCTCCTCCAACAATGCAACATAAATATATATGAGACATAAAACAATTAAAATAGTGCAAGAAGAAACCGAGTAGTATAAGATTATGTTCCAAGACCAACGTGTACCAAGTAATGCAGACGAAGAAATAGACATGTCAAATAAAATACGATAAGCTAAACTGTGTGTGCAGGCAAGTAAATGCAAGAGTCTATATACATGTAAAGTAGAATAAGATAATGAAAACTGAACAGTGGAATAAGTACTGCTTACTGTAGTAATCAGTATTTATTCAACTATACAGTATTCATTTCACATTGTGTTCTTGTTTATCTTAGCTTCTTAGCTAGAGATGGTGGCGAGGCTAGCCTTGTGTGAGAGATAAATGTAGGCCCACATGTCCGACTGATTGTAAAGCTTCACATTGCCATTGTTGGTGTGTGTTTTTTTTTGTGGATGGTGTGTGACAGCAGCTGGAATACTGGCTAGCGCCATGCCACTACGATATTAGTGGAGTTAGCAAGTAAATACTGCTCCAATGAAGAAATATCATCACTTAATCCTTAATGTTGACCATAAACAGCTGCATTTTGAGCTGTCCACTCAGCTAAGGCTGTCTGTAACTGTCTGTGGAAAGGGACCTAAATCATCCACACATTAATGTTAACTTGCATGATGTATTTGAAGGATCAGTGCAGTGCTGTCAACATAAATATCTATATAAGAGATGCAATGTATTGCACTCAAAAGACATTATCTTCTTATGTATTTGTGGCACCGTCATGCAGAGTGTTTATATAGTGTAGAAATAAAAGCCTTTGACACATTAAGAAGCTATGGGACATTTAAAAAATGCTTTTGCATGATATTACTCTGTACTGGTTTAAAAAAGCAACTAGGAAATGCTGTCAGTGCTGCAACTGCAGAATAATATCATTGTAGATCAATCATTTAAATAGTCATAATTCATTCAAATGCACCAACAACACTCAGAAATGTCCAACACAAGAGACTAAATTAGATTCTGTTCTTTAAAACATTTGGGGGGGAGTGCTAGGCTTTTTTGTTTTGATGTCTATCATGCGTCTTATTTGATTGCCTAAGATGTGTGCAGTTGAACTCAGTGGATACACACTGACACAGCGAACGTCTCCATTTTGTGGCATTACTTGCTATGAAACGGTCCATTCGTCACCTGGTCGGCACAAACCTGTGTTTGCAACATGTTGAATAACTTTGCTGGACAGGGATTCTGTGTGTGAGCAGGCCATGTGGGCGTGTGTGTTTGCATATATTGTAGGTTTGTGCATGCACGCAACTTTGTTCTGGATTTCATCTGAAGTTAAGTGCTCAGTTGTGTTTTGTTTGATGTTATTAATTCCTGATGGGAGAAAATTGTCCGTACGCCTTTTAAACAGCTTTTATCAGTTCCATTGCGTTGTCAGACAGGCTTCACCTTTCCTGTTGTCCCCGAGTCAAATGTTATATTGGAATAAGGGATTATTTCGTAAAACCAAACATGGAAATGAGTTATGTTGACCATAAATAAATAAAAAAGGAAACTTGTGGTTATAAGTCAGAATTAAGTTGGCTTTAAATGTGAAACGCAGATTTAAGAATTTATGATGTATACTATATGCTTCATAAACAGTCAAACTATGATTGACAAAAATGACAAAGTTGACAGGCAGAAGACACAACGGTCAAAAATGAAGGAATAAACCAGCACATTTTTGTTGTCTTCATCTTCCTTTGACTCCTCCGCCTAAACTGTGCATTTCTTCTCTTTTTAGATTTCGGCTCACTGTTTGACTTGGAGCACGATCTCCCAGACGAGCTCATCATCTCCAATGACTCGGGTCTGGTTAACGGAGGAGACCTCAGCCAGCTGCACACCTCTCTGGGCGGAGGAGGACCTGCAGGTCTGGGTCCTGGAGGAGGAGGCGGCGCTGGAGGAATGGGGCTCGGACTCGGACTCGGAGGTCAGGATGCGGTGGCAAAGCACAAACAGCTGTCAGAGCTTTTGCGATCGGGGGCGCCCAACGCGACGCAGCAAGGGCACCAAGGAGCCATGGGCAGCCCAGGAGGGTCCAGCGCTTTGGGGCAACACTTAGCGAACATGAAAGCATCTCCTGGTCCTCCTCAGATGATGGGCCAGCAGCACCTGTCCCCTCAGCAGCAGGCCAGCCTGATGCAGCAACAGAACGCTGGCATGATGGGTGGCATGAACAGGGCCATGATGGCAGCGCAGCAGAAAGGCAATAACGGACAGCAGCAGCCAGGCATGATGGGGAGCCAGGTGATGAACGGCTCCCCCAGGATGGGCTTTGGGAGTCAGGGGATGGGGGGCAGCAGCAACCTGTTGGCGGAGACCCTCCAGCAGCAGGGGGCCGGGGGCCAGGCCGGGATGAGAGGCCAGCAGCCCGGAGCAATGAACAAGGTAAGGGTCCTTTTTAAAAAAAAAGTTTTCATTATAATCATACAGAATGTCATTGAGCAGTCAAATACATATCGAATCAAATATACCCCCCACCCCCACCCCCACCCCAGCATGAAAGAAAACAAAAAACATACAAAGAAAACGACAAACAAAAAGACACCTACAATATTGCTTTAGAAATGGTAGTTGCCCAGATTTCAGCAACACTCAAATCTATACACAATCCTCTTCAGAGTTAAATCCAGCTTGCACTTTCTCCTTTTAATGATAAAAAGGCTGTTTTTTTTCACCATGTGGTGTAACATTGAAGTTATATGGAATATTATGGTTGTATATATTCATATTGGGTGAAAATAAACTGCTGCAGTTCAAGTCCCCGCTCTAAAGTCATTTGTAGAACCTGCATTATCTTCTAGTAATGCTCTAAAAACCGTAACTACCGCCCAGGGGTGTAAACGATACTATGGTCTGGATCGCTATGGACGCAAACTGAAAAGGTCGTTAGATATCCTCCTCTTCCAGACGCGCCTTCATTTTGAAAATCCGATCTGCATCATCATATCCGTCCAAGCGCACCTCAGTCCAGTACGGAAAATATATTTGAGCTGCTTTTTGTGAATATTGATTAGGGCTTTCCGATTATGGCAAAAATCATAATCTCGATTATTTTGGTCAATAATTGATATCACGGTTATTAAAAACGATTATCCATTTACTTTGAAAACATCCATTTATTGAAAAAAAAATTTTTAACAGTTGATTATCCTGAACTTTAAGTTTAATTCAACTGAAAATCCAATAAAAAAAATTAAAATAATTACATATATATTTTTTTTAAACAAAAATAATAATCGTTTTATTTCGATTACGTTGTTTTCGTAACCGTTGCAAGCCACAATCGTAATCGAGATTAATATACGATTAATTGCACAGCCCTAATATTGATGGAAATCATTGGGTCAAATGGACATACTATGGTTTCATATCAATCAAGTCACTTAATTAAATCTTATAAAAAACATTTTGGCAGACTTTCCGATATCGGCAAATCTAATCTGTCCAAAGAATCAAAAAAGTATTGCAACGTGATGAAACTAGTGACCGTGTTTCCCTAGGATGGAGTCATAGCAGCGGTGCTAAGGCACGTGGGCCCAGCATAATGTGAGCGCGTGGAATTTTTTAGTGCGTGCGAAGTGCGCCCCGCCAATTTGTTTATATGTGTCTGCCAGCACAAGAAAGGCTCTCGAGGCCTAGTGCCAGGGCCGGTTCTAGACAATTTGCTGCCCTAGGCGAGATTTTATATGTAAAGAATAAATAAAAAATCTCTACCGAAGACAAATACACTACAAAAACAGAAACGTATTGATATAGGTAATATACGTAGAAATGGCTTCAAATGTATTCAGTATTGTATGAACATGTTTTAATTGGGGGGTGGACTTCACATCCTCTAGGGGGGTCCGAGGGTATGCCCCCCCGGGAAGATTTGTGTTGAACATTTTAAAGTAAAATGCTTCAATCTGGTGCACTTTGAGCAGAATTACTAGAGACCTGATCTAGGGGGTACAACTCTAAAACACCCATATGAAAAAGATCGGTTTACATTTTAATAATCCAATAAGTATGTGAACATAACCGATAACCTACCATAGCCAATAACAAATAAATGTAACGTATTTTATTTTTGTTGTTCATTCATATCTTATTTTACCTTAACATTTATTTATTTATTTATGCATATTTTTGTATCTCTCCAACTTTAAACGATATTTTTGGTTTACTGTCCTATAGTATACATTGGAATGATTTCAAACCTGTTTTTATTCATCCTAATAATTATAAAGGAGTGCCTTGGAAATATGTGTTTACATAATTTGTGGTCAAAACGTTTGAGACCCACTGAGATAACTTAGACTAAAATGAACTATCTAAACACTCAGTCCTTTACCTCACTGAGCCTCTCAGTCTGACAGGAGAGCTCTCCTCCACCCTGGTTGTAGAAACATCTACTTCTTATATCCGTTAGCGCAGCTAGCACCAGATTCTAATAACAACAGCGCCGGTACTGGTGCACCCTCTCTCTCTCTCTCCAGTGCATGACATTAAGGATTTTGGGAGATGGCCCTGTGGGCCATCTAAGCTAATTTGCAGATGGCCCTGAGCCCAATAGAGATTGCCTTGAAAAATGCGGGCGGACGAAATGACGCACGAAGGGTTTGGGGGGCCTCCCCCTAGAACATTTAGATGGTTGCAGGTCTTAGATGCTGTCTGGTTCTCTAGACTGAATTATAAGATGAACCACCACAATATTATATTGTACAATTTCAATTGTATTTTTCATTTCACTTGTTTGTTTGTTCTTGTTTGTGTTTGCTCGCTTGCATGCCCTGCATAGCTGTAAGAAACACTTAAGTTGTTGGTCAAGACACTTTCCATCTGATGAAGGCAAATGCCTTCCCAGATGTAAAAAAGTAGAAAACATTACATTCAGTTATAACTGCCAAAACAAACATTATTTACACTATTATGGCCCCTGTTAAAAATGTTTGTAATGTTATCTACTGTAAGTTGGTCGAACGAATGCCTCCTCATCCGGAAGCTGACCGATCAGACCCGAGCAGCAGTCGAGGAGCCGAGCGCATCCGCGAAGCACACAACATGGCGACGTCAGAGTTCCCATTAGCCGGCAAATCTAAATCTCTTCGGTCAAAATGTCCGGTCAAAATAATTTCCCTTTAGTGCAATACCGCTTCAGTTGCGCCACTTATGTGACAGACAAGAAGAGTATGTGACAGACATGAATAGTCAATTATAATGTCTAAAGAAAGAGATGTCCTGTGTGGGTTGATTGTGCGTTGATCTGTTGGTAATGCCTCGGGGTTCCGGTGGGCATGTAAACAAATGCATAATGCTGCGCTATACTTTGTGGCCTCACCCGGTTTCATAGCGACGCTTATTGTTTAGGTGTCTTTTAATAAGCAGGTAGTCATATCATTAGCTAGAACTAGCTGGATTTGATCGATATGGACATAAACGCGAGTGAAGTCTAATCTGACGGGAGAGAGAGATCAGCTGCTGCTGACGAGTCGACACGCAGCTCTGCATGATCACCTGCAGCGGTGAGCGGACAAAACACACTTCAGGTTAGAATATCACACGTAGCTATTTTAATGACCTCTCAAACTACCGTAACTAGTTATAGATATGTTTAATTTTACTGTCGGGTCACTCATTACTGATCCGCGAGCTGCATGATACTGGCATAATAGATTGCCCGATCGGGCAACCAGCAGGTGAGGCTTCATTGCCCGAGCTAAATACTAGATGGCCCCGGGCCATCGGGCAGTCCTTAATGTCGAGCCCTGCCCTCGCTCGCTCCCATGCTCACTCACATTTTGGCTGTGAGCTGCGGGCAACTGATAAGCCAACACCCTCCACTTTCATCACTTACAGCGCCCATCGTACAGGGCAAATGAAAAGTGTAACTGGGGTGAAAAGGGTGTTACATTTACTTAATTATGAATATTGTTACATCAAGGCCGAAAATTAGGATGAGCGCCAACGGTCAAAAGTGTTTTTTCCCTCCCAGAGCTACCAGCGCAGCGCCTCCACAGATCTGGCGCCCTAGGCGAAATCGGCCCTGCCTAGTACATACAGTGGCAATGTCTCAACATTTAGCAAAAATACACCTTTATTGAACATACATTAACACAAATACTACAAATCCACATAACAAACAATCAACAATGAAAAAGGACGGACTAAGCAGCTCCAGCATGTCTCCCTGACATGGGCAAACAGGTTTTGTCACACTTCCAGGAGACGGGCCGCGAAAACCACCTCTCTGTGGCCCTTCACAGAGCCCCAAAGGACGGACTAAGCAGCTCCAGCATTTCTCCCTGACATGCGTACTTCCATAACCTCGCTCACCGTAAGACCCCGATGAAAAAAATAAAATAAATGAAAAAGTACACTTATTATTATTTTAATCAAAAAGTTTAAAAAAAAAGAAATATATATATTTTTCAGCTATTTGTATATAGGGGAAACACTGAATGATCTACACCCCTAAAACCGCCCGTTATCTTACTTTTGAACATGGAGTTCATTTGACAAGCTTTTGCACATGATTGATGAAAGCTCATGATCTTATGTTTGTGCAAAACTATTAACGCATTATTTTTAGCGTTTTCTTTAAAGTGTACTGCTTTTTGGAAGGCTTTAGTTTGATTTCTGTCCAGAAAGAGATGCTCTGGGTCCTTGAACGTACCTCTGTATGTTAACATCCACGAGGAAACGCTACAAGCTCTTGATTGGAGTTGAAGTGGCAGAGGGCTGCTCAGTCTGTGTGATTGAAAGTCTCACTGGAATGACATTAACTGTGTTTCAGCCGCGGTGATGCTGCTGAATGAATGTGATGGAGACACTGATTTCTGATTTAGCCGTTGAAAAAAGCACCGAGATGGTTTCCAGGTTTCGTATAAGGGGGCAGAAAGAAAGATGGAGTGGTCTTTCTGAAGGCGATGCAAGTAGTTATAAGGAGGAAAGGAACGAGCAGCAAATCATAGAAAAAAGTTCAAATAACTGACGGAGGAAAACAATGTTTGTCGGATTTCACATTCTGCTGGCTGCTGTTGATGTTGAAACCTGCTTAACTCATTTAAAAGTACGTCTTCGATGCTCTTGAGCAGTTGCGCAAGTGGTAAAAAAAACCACGTTCTTTTGGGAGATAAATACTTTGGCACGAAACAATGGTGTGAGGAAACATCCGCAGCCTTAAGCAGCGCAGATTCGAGCTTTTTGGAGACATTTGAGCTTTTTTGTCAAGAAAATTGTGCTTGACCTTTTATGAACCTGCATCGTTTATCAAACCCGAACTACTGCAGCATTTTTGGACCAGAGCCTAGCTAGAAAGCATTATTTTCTCTGTATTCCCACTGTAAAAATAAATACTAAAGTGTACACCACAAGCTTGAGTCCACACAAGTCTTTGCGGCTCGGCACGTGACGCCGTGAGGACGACATTCAGGGGAGTTTTACCTGTCAGCAAATGAACCCCGTAATTCTAGTGTTTAGTCAGTTTAAACCTAATTAAAAATTGTAATTAGTTTTAATTGGTTGATTAGGTAGCTCATACATTATGCATGTCATTACACAGACTATAAAAGCTACATTTAAAAATAGAAAATCAATAAAAACACACCTGCTTTGCACAAGCCTGGCGTTTAAAATGTCATAGAAAGTGTGAAGGAAACGCAGATCTACGAGACAACAGAAGATTATTTTGCAAAATGTTAAAACACACAATACCTTTGCATGCACAGTTAAGAGAGCAATCACTTATAACATCAGTGAAATGGGGTTGATACTATAGTTTATTGTCTTCTCTAACTCACCAACAAAATGTTGACTATCTAGTTTGCTTACTGCACATATTTTCTAATTTTATTGCATTCTATTTCAAAGTAAATTACTGCTTTATTTTATTTTCTATTTTACTAATATTTTTTCGTATTTTTTTGGTAATGTTATTATAGTTTTCTCAAAATATGCACCACGACACCAAGTCAAATTCTTCCTCATACGTAACCAGTGTTTCCACCAGACCAGGGCTAAGAGGGCGTCCACCCGAGAGCGCGGGGGTGGGGGGTGTGACGTCACGTCGTGTCACGTTGAATTTTGAATTGAGCTGTCCCTTTATAGATACTATCTCTTTACGTATTAGTGATGGGAATTCCGGCTCTTTTTAGTGAGTCGGATCATTTGGCTCGGCTCACTAAGAAGAGCCGGCTCCTAAACGGCTCTTCATGTTACCACAGTTTACCACGGAGCCTCAGTTTCGCCGCTGCGAGGCTCCGGCGCTCGCAGTTCACGCGCGTGCTCCACTAGCACCCCCCGTCAAGGCTCGCCGGCAGTACACCTTCCGTCACAGGAACACGCTTTGCTGGCGGCGAAAAGAATCCCACCAGACTCCTTTGCCCCTCCAACAGAGCGATGTCCTTGTTCCTTTTCCCTTTTTCGTCATTTCAAGCGATAAAAACTCGATCTTCTCTCGAATTATTTTTATACAAGACGCCCCCCCGGCGGAAACGCTGGTGTCAACCTCTCTCATAATAAACCTGTCTCTGATTCTGATTCTCTTTTCTTCCTCTCAGATGGGGATGATGGGGAACCAGGCGGCCCATTTGAGGTCCGTATGCGTGGGGAATCAAGGTCTCTGGGCGGCGCGGGCTGGGGCCCTCAGCTCCAGAAAAACAAAGGTCCCAATCAGCCTGGCCCAGTTCAGTGTGGACAAGAAGAACCAACCCATGCAAGGAATGGCCAGCCCCCATGGTAAGGAAAAAATACAAGATTTTTTCGATAGATTTAAAAGATCACCTATTATGCAAAATCCACTTCTTCATGTCTCTTCTATTACAACATGTGTCCCCTCTTCTTCATGTCTCTTCTTCATCAACATGTGTCCCCTCTTCTTCATGTCTCTTCTACATCAACATGTGTCCCCTCTTCTTCATGTCTCTTCTACATCAACATGTGTCCCCTTCTTCATGTCTCTTCTACATCAACATGTGTCCCCTCTTCTTCATGTCTCTTCTACATCAACATGTGTCCCCTCTTCTTCATGTCTCTTCTACATCACATCAACAGTGTCCCCTCTTCTTCATGTCTCTTCTACATCAACATGTGTCCCCTCTTCTTCATGTCTCTTCTACATCAACATGTGTCCCCTCTTCTTCATGTCTCTTCTACATCAACATGTGTCCCCTCTTCTTCATGTCTCTTCTACATCAACATGTGTCCCCTCTTCTTCATGTCTCTTCTACATCAACATGTGTCCCCTCTTCTTCATGTCTCTTCTACATCAACATGTGTCCCCTCTTCTTCATGTCTCTTCTACATCAACATGTGTCCCCTCTTCTCATGTCTCTTCTACATCAACATGTGTCCCCTCTTCTTCATGTCTCTTCTACATCAACATGTGTCCCCTCTTCTTCATGTCTCTTCTACATCAACATGTGTCCCCTCTTCTTCATGTCTCTTCTACATCAACATGTGTCCCCTCTTCTTCATGTCTCTTCTACATCAACATGTGTCCCCTCTTCTTCATGTCTCTTCTACATCAACATGTGTCCCCTCTTCTTCATGTCTCTTCTACATCAACATGTGTCCCCTCTTCTTCATGTCTCTTCTAATCAACATGTGTCCCCTCTTCTTCATGTCTCTTCTACATCAACATGTGTCCCCTCTTCTTCATGTCTCTTCTACATCAACATGTGTCCCCTCTTCTTCATGTCTCTTCTACATCAACATGTGTCCCCTCTTCTTCATGTCTCTTCTACATCAACATGTGTCCCCTCTTCTTCATGTCTCTTCTACATCAACATGTGTCCCCTCTTCTTCATGTCTCTTCTACATCAACATGTGTCCCCTCTTCTTCTTCATGTCTCTTCTACATCAACATGTGTCCCCTCTTCTTCATGTCTCTTCTACATCAACATGTGTCCCCTCTTCTTCATGTCTCTTCTACATCAACATGTGTCCCCTCTTCTTCATGTCTCTTCTACATCAACATGTGTCCCCTCTTCTTCATTCTCTTCGTCTCTTTCTACATCAACATGTGTCCCCTCTTCTTCATGTCTCTTCTACATCAACATGTGTCCCCTCTTCTTCATGTCTCTTCTACATCAACATGTGTCCCCTCTTCTTCATGTCTCTTCTATATCAACATGTGTCCCCTCTGTGGAAAGAGACTCTGAAAGTTTCAGGAACAAAGATTCTCTCTCTTTTTGATCAATTTCTATAAAAACCTGTCTGAAAATGAGCTGATCAGATTTTGGCCACTTTATGATGTCATAACGATGTTTTGTCTTGTGTAACCATTAGCCAATCAGCAACCAAGGTAACCCCCCCCCCCCCCTTATCACCTGAATCTCCTCCTAGAGCACCATTGAGTTCTTTGTAACCAAATCTCTCTCAGAGGGGCGTGGGGAGGGGCTCCTTATTTTCATCTAAAGTAACAGACAGAGAATCAGCACTTTGGAAACAGGGCTGAAACAGAGGGGATTATGGGTAATGCTGCAATGATCTGTTTGGTGTTTTCAGCCAATCAGAGACAGGTTCTGTATATATCTGAGACCTATAATGTATTAATGAGAAACAGTATAATAGGGGACCTTTAACGTATTCCCTCCTCTCTCAGGGCTCCCAGCAGTCGCAGCCCGGTGTTGTCGGCCCCTCTGGAGCTCCAGTAGGTGGAGGGTCTCCAGGGATGGGACCCAACGCTCAGGCCTCTCTCGTGGCTTCGCAGGTTTCTGCAGCTTCCTCCGCTGCCGGAGCGCCGCCGACAGCCGACCCCGAGAAACGAAAGCTGATCCAGCAGCAACTGGTCCTTCTTCTGCACGCACACAAGTGTCAGCGGCGGGAACAAGCTAACGGGGAAGTGAGGCAGTGCAACCTGCCACACTGCCGCACCATGAAGAACGTCCTCAACCACATGACGCACTGCCAGGCCGGCAAGTCCTGTCAGGGTGAGTCGAAAAGACGCTGCTGCAGGCGTGTGATGAGTCCCTGTGTTTGACAGGAAGGGAGTTTAGAGAGACGGCTTTTATCAAGGATAATATAAACAGTCGTATTGTATTTATATTACAATCAAGAGGCCGTGTGAGATCACAGTCATGCTGTATTTATCCAGGTTATAATCATTTCTGCGGTGGCAACTTAGCTTGTCCATTGTCATTAGGAATGGATATATGGGGAAACATCTATTTATTTCTGATTAAATACCCCGATATTGCTATGATATTCAGAATATTTGAAGTAGGAACATTTAATGACTAAGTGGATGAATAATAATTGAGCTAGAAAAGTCTGATCAATTCACAAAATGACATAATTTCACTGAAATACATACTTTAATTTGGGGGGGAAATATGTATGTGTAATTCTTGTCAGAAATCTAACATCACATCATTATCACAATATTGACATTTATATTTTGCACAGGCCTAATTGTTGTCCAAAGGAATAGTATTTAAACAAAAGGAAGCCCCATCATACCCGTTTACATGTTCATTTTCCTTGGTAGTTTATTCTGAAACAACCATGTGATTCATTTGGATGTACTCTCTATACAGTAGCCCTCTCCTGGGTGATGTCACTGTTTATGCTCGGATGCTTTTTCTTTTATTTCTGAGTTTGACATCCTGAGATAAATTACCCCGACTGGCTGTTCTCCTCCTAATAAAGGAATATGTCACCCAACGCACCCTTTAAGCAAACGACAGAGGAGGCATAACATATATATTAGCTTGTGGTTACAAAGTAAAAACTGTGAGTTAGAGATATAATAACCTCAGCTTTAGGTCGACTTCCTAACAGTGTGTCAGCAATTTTAGGAAGGATTTAAGGCAACTGGCATCTCCTAGGTTACTTTTAATATTTTTCTCCATTACCTCACCTCACTTTGTTTCATCCTTTTGTAACTTATTTGACTTAAAGGGGGACCTATCATGCAAAATGCACTTTTTGATGTCTGTTATACATAAACATGTGTCCCCGGTGTGTCGGGGAACTCACGCAGCGTCAGAAAATAAAACCCTCTCTCTTTTCCTCCGTACCCAAATCTCTAAAAACGGGGAACAACGGAGCTGATCCAGATTTGCGTCCGATACGACGTAATATCTGAAATGTGGACCCACGGCCCAATCAGAAACGTTGCTATCAGAAACAATGCCCGACTGTTTTGGACGTAATATGGTCGGTGTTTACATTAGCATGGCTAACACTCAGAGCTAACCTGTACTGGAGAGCATGTGTGTGAAGAAGCAGGAAGTAGAAAGGAACTCACCTTGTGGTATAACCGGCAAGAGAGAAAGCCTTTGAGCTCCAAACTGTTTCAGAGAGAATCCTTGATAATCCATGATATGGCGTTTCATCACGGCAGCATTTAGTTTAGACGGTAGCTGCCGGGTCCCGCATAATAACATTTATTTTTTATCAATTATTTATTTTTATAAACCTTTATACCCAAATCAACACTTTTGAAACAGGAAGTGAAACAGAGGGATATGAGGCATGGCTAGAATGGGTGATCTGTTTTTTGAGCAAAACACTTCATAGACATGTTTTTTATATATTTGTATATATCTGAGACCTACCCTATTGCCTAGAAATAGCATGAGAGGTGACCTTTAAGGCAGTAAAAACATGTGTTTGTTTGCTTCTCGACAGAAGTTAAAGGTAAAATGTTTCACAGGAAATGCTTTTATTTTGAAGTGCAAGTATGTGTCCTGCTCTTACTCCTTCCTTCTGAATACGAGTATGTTGAATGCATTTTCCCGTTTTCTACCGTTCTTGTTGAAAACTGTGACATTAATCAAAAGTAAACACGTTCAGTTTGGACAAGATTCGCTTGGTTCTTCATTTGAAGCTTCTATTACACAACACATCCCTGCTCTCCTGCCTGTTTTCCTCTCCCTCATATACCTCTGTTTATGTTTCTTTCTCCCCCCATCCCTCCCCTCAGTGGCGCACTGTGCATCCTCGCGGCAGATCATCTCTCACTGGAAGAACTGCACGAGGCACGACTGTCCGGTCTGCCTGCCGCTGAAGAACGCCGGAGACAAGAGGAACCCCCAGTGTGAGTGTCGGTATCTGGCCAAACAACGCTATACATTCATTTCCTGCACACTGCGCTGTACAGGAAATTATAGTCGTGTTATATCATCATCAATGTTACTTATTTCAGGCCTATTTGCGAATGCATCGATTTCTGTAAGGGCTGTATCGAAGACTTCAGATCTTTATTCATAACTTTAATGTCAGAAATCTAAATCAACAAATGCTCCACAGCTTTCTAAAACATTTGTACTGCATCTGTAATTAACCTGGTGTTTCTAAACACAGATAAAGATAATGCCACTCTAATATTTTTGTAGGTGAGAAACACACACACACACACACACACACACACACACACACACACACACACACACACACACACACCGGCTCAGTCAGTAGGGGCTTGGACTGGGAGCTGTAGGGTCGCCGGTTCAAGTCCCCGCACAGACCTAAATATGGAGTGCGGACTGCTACTTGGAGAGGTCCCAGTTCACCTCCTGCCCTGCCGTGGTGCCCTTGAGCACTGACATGTATTTATGTTGACAAACATGACAAGTAATACATCATAAAAAGTTAATTACATTAAAAAAAAAATCAGGATTTTGTAAGAGGACTCACGTTCAAATATGAACTCAATCGAAGCTCCGGATAAATAAATAAAAAACGACATTTGGTACAGCCCTAAATTGTATTATTGGGCGGTTTGAAGCTATTGCCTAGTAGTGAGCTAAACGCCTGTTATGTTCTTATCAATGCAGCATGATTTTTGCGAGCTTTTTGAGTCACACGTTTGTATTATTTGTACTTGATGTTCTGTTAAGCAGATGTAATATCAACACTCCTCTCTCCTCTGCTCCTCTCAGCTCTTCTTGGTGCAGCAGCTGCAGGTTTAGGCAGTTCTCTCGGGTCGTTACCGGGCGGACCACCAAGCGCCTCGAACCTAAACCCCCCGAGCCAGATCGACCCCAGCTCCATCGAGAGAGCCTACGCAGCGCTGGGCCTCACGTACCAGGGGAACCAGATCCAGGTCCAGAGCGGACAGCCCAACATGTCCAACACATCGCTGCAGGGCCCGGCCGGCATGAGGACTCTCAACACAATGGGTGAGTTACGCTGCATTCAAGATTCAGGATCCAAGGCTTTTATTGTCATTTGTACATAGCTACTGTTAGAAAAATATCACTGGTCACCGGCTTGAGCTTCAATCTCAGGATCCATGTATTTATGATCCTCTCAAGAATGGAAGTAGTCATCACATACAGAGCATCAACTAGTTCCTGAACAGTGTCCTTCACATGCTACTACTACAATTACTTATACTACTACCACAACTACTACTACTACTAATACTAATACTACTACAACAACAACAACAACAACAACAACAACAACAACTACTAACAACAACTACTACTACTAATACAACTACTACTACTGTTAGAAAAATATCCCTCGTCTCCGGCTTGAGCTTCATCCTCAGGATCCATGTATCTGTGATCCTCTCCAGAATGGAAGTAGTCATCACATACAGAGCATCAACTAGTTCCTGAACAGTGTCCTTCACATGCTACTACTACTACAACTACTACTACTACTGCTACTACTACTACTACTACTACTACTACTACTATTACTTATACTACTACCACAACTACTATTACTACTACTACTACTACTACTACTACTCAGAGTTCCCGTTAGAATATCTTTTCGCCGGTCAACATGTCCGTTAAAGTTGAAATCTTCTGGACAAAATGAGAAAAGTGCCGGTCAAAGGTCTTCTTTGTTATTTATTGAGCTTTAAAACAAATTGATATGATTCGATATTAAACAAACTAATGATAGTAGATTAACTACATTATTCAAAATTGTTCAGTAACTTATAATAACACGGGAATAATAAACGGACCGCTCTCCCTCTCCTGACATGCAGCTCGCGGATCAGTAATGAGTGACCCGACAGTAAAACTAAACATATCTATAGTTTAGGTAGTTTGAGAGGTCATTAAAATAGCTACGTGTGATATTCTAACCTGAAGTGTGTTTTGTTCCGCTCACCGCTGCAGGTGATTATGCAGAGCTGCGTGTCGACTCGTCAGCAGCAGCTGATCTCTCTCTCCCGTCAGATTAGACTTCACTCGCGTTTATGTCCATATCGATCAGATCCAGCTAGTTCTAGCTAATGATATGACTACCTGCTTATTAAAAGACACCTAAACAATAAGCGTCGCTATGCAACTGGGTGAGGCCACAAAGTATAGCGCAGCATTATGCATTTGTTTACATGCCCCCCGGAACCCCGAGGCATTACCAACAGATCAACGCACAATCAACCCATCCAGGACATCTCTTTCTCCACATTACGTGTTAGACATTAGAATGGACTATTCTTGTCTGTCACATAAATGGCGCAACTGAAGCGGTATTGCGCTAAAGGGAAAACATTTTGAACGGACACTTTGACCGGTCTTCAGCATATTTTACCGGTCGTAATCCGGTAATTACCGGCTAACGGGAACTCTGCTACTAATACTAATACTAATACTACTACAACAACAACAACTACTACTAACAACAACTACTGCTACTGTTAGAAAAATATCCCTCGTCTCCAGCTTGATCTTCAATCTCAGGATTTATTTATTTTATTTTAGGATGTATTTGTGATCCTCTCCAGAATGGAAGGAGTCATCACATACAGAGCATCAACTAGTTCCTGAGCAGTGTCCTTCACATGCTGATAGACAAGAGAGGGAGTTACACAGTCACAAGATGGAGGAATAGAAAGCAGTATTCAATGTTTACTTCAGATTAGCTCCACGTCAGAAATGAGCATGCTTGATGTCTCTCTCCATAGAGGCTGAATCATCATGTTAATCACATAGCTATCATATGCCTCAAACAGTCCTGATGCTCTTCTAGGTAATCACACATCCTGTCATGTTCACAGCTACAGTTGGGATACCTTTGTTATCATTTGGACTCTGATATTGGAAGAGGACATTCAGTATTATATACCCCCTAATAACCTGTACCTGTTCTATCTATAGGTGTGAATCCTTTGGGAGTGAATGGAGGCGTGGGAGCTTCAACTCAGAGCCAACAATCCAGCCTGCTGCAGGACACCATGATGCACCTCAACGTCAACACACAAGGGTAAGACAGGACACACACATTCAGCATTATTAAAGGGCACACAATGTACACAATATCAGTTTTTTTTGTATTACTGCACATATTTTCGGTATCAGCTGATACTGATTCCGGCGATCGGCCCCTAAATTGCCGATTGGAGCATCCCTAGTTTCAAGTATTAGTCAACCAGTAACAGCGTACCTCTCAAAAGCTAACATAAAATGTAATAAAGATGGCCAACCTTTCGAAAATAAATGACAAATAATAGTAAATAAACAAAAATAATAATGATGGTACGAGAATACAAGTGTGTTAACAATTCTTACTGTATTAGTAGATGCATTACAGGGGCCCATCGCTTGATAAATGTTTCTGTAGGCGTAATAAATATGTTATTTGCTCCATGTGGTGGATATCCCACACTCTGAATCCAGCAGTTATAGGTGGGAGGTTCTGGTTTCAACCATTTAATGGTGATGCACTTCAGGGCCGCTGTCAATACAATTCCACATCAATGTTTTTAAGAAGTAAATCATCAAATAATTCCCTCCTTTCTCTCCCAGTCTGATGAACGATTCCAGTGGGGTCGGCTCGATGCCAACAGCAGGTCCTCCCTCGTCGTCGGGAATGAGGAAAAGCTGGCATGAAGACATCACACAAGACCTGAGAAACCACTTGGTACACAAACTGTAAGTATCCAAGAAGAACTGTACCATAAAAACAAAAATGGCTCTTTAATGTATTCTGTTAATACAAGTGGTTACTTCAGCAGTAGACCATTGTATGTCTCTGATTGTAGTTAAGGTGTCTGATAGTAGCCTCAGTTAGTGCCTCTCACATATAAATGCTAGTAACATTAGCAAGACTTCATAAGCGTTTGGCTGAGAGACGATGTAGTACATGAATGTGAGGTTAACTCCTCGAAACACGTCTCATGGTGGCGATAACTCAACTATTTTAAGAGATTAGATATGAATTGCTAAAGGAACCATATTATTAACACCAGGGCTATGACTATTCACTGGCACTGTCCCAAAGTCACCACACAGAAAGACTCCTACCAAGACTAAAAATGACATGTGTTGTTTAAGAAGTATTCTGACAAAAGACTGCATCAAATGATTATATATTTCCCCTTCTTTCCCCCTCTCTTTGATCTCCTCCCACAGCGTTCAGGCCATCTTCCCGACTCCAGATCCCGCCGCTCTGAAGGACCGACGAATGGAGAACCTGGTGGCCTACGCCCGAAAAGTGGAGGGAGACATGTACGAGTCGGCCAACAGTAGAGTAAGTTACTCTGGCCTTTTAGCTCAGTGTTTTACTCAGGAAGGAAAGAACGTTTGCCTTTTTAATTGTGAAGCTTTAGCCAGAGTCAAATCAACTTCCCAAATCACATTGTTGGACGTAGGAGAAAATCCAGAGCTTATGATCTTCACTTGTTGTTACTTTTTGCTGCAGATAAATCCTGTCTGTGTGTTTTTAAATTGTTGCTAACTTCTCTGTTTTCCCCCTCCTGGCCACATTTTCCTTATTTTCCTACCCTCTTTCTGACAGGCGGAGTACTATCACCTGCTGGCGGAGAAGATCTATAAGATCCAGAAGGAGCTGGAGGAGAAGCGGCGGACGCGGCTCCAGAAGCAGGGCATCGGCATCGGCCTGGGTCCGCCCCCCGTTGGCCTGCCTCCAAGTGAGTCCACACCAAGCCCCCAGGAAGTGCGCCGGACTCTGAGGAACATATTCGTTGTAGCCAAACGGCGGTACTACACTTCCATATCAGTCGCTGGGCCCGGAAAGACTTTTTCCCATAGAGGCGAAGTCCCGCCCATCTACTTCCGACCCATGGGACCTTATTTAGGAAAAATTATGTATTGGAGTCAATGGAGAGAGAAAGATTATCTTTCGATCCCGTTTGAATTGTGCCATGAATTACACATATGATGTTTGTCAATCTTAAATAATAATTTCCATGTCAAAAAAGTCAGTTTGTCGTAAAACTGTTGAAATATAAGACTATGAAAAATACGCAACTAGAAAGACTACAAATCCCAGAGTCCCGGTCCCGCATGCTGGCTCTCACGGAACCGACTAACTCCCCTTGTGTGTGTGCACAGCTCTCAACGTGCCAAGACTTGGAGTGATTTTCACCTCTTTGAATACTTTCCGCCTCGTTCTGAAAGAAAGAAGTGAAAAGTGGCAACGTGACGGCCGTCTTGGTGTGTGGTGCGAGACGGGAGATGTAGTTCATTGAGCGGTTTCACACAAAAAAAGTGACACATTTAGATTTGTTTGACTTGAAAAATTATCTTTTAAATTGACAAACATCATATGTGTAATTCGTGGCACAATTCAAACGGGATCGAAAGATAATCTTTCTCTCTCCATTGACTTCAATACATACTTTTTCCAAAATAAAGTCCCATAGAGGAAAGGAAGGGACATTGCCTCTCTATTGACTAACATTGGGAAAGAGACGTCTGTAAATCGTTGGATAATTTTTTTTAACTAAATAAACTACCCAGTATGAACGTTTGTATAGCCCTTATTAAAAACATTCGGTCCTCAAGTTGTAAAATGTGCTAATAACGTTATTCTGAGAGTTATTTTCCTCGGCATTATGAACGCGCATCTAACCCACGGGACAGCGCCGCCCGGCCCGTTCATGTGACGTGTTCAGCACTACATGAGTTTTACCTTTACCCATGGATGCACAATAAGAACGGATTCTATGATTATATGAATACTTTCGTGACGTTTCGCTCTCTCAAAAGTTCGGCCATTTTGTCTTCATGCGCCAATGAGCAACTCTCATAGGAATGAACGAGGCCCCGCCTCCCACGCTGTATCCAGTTCTTATTATACATCCATGCGCAGCTTTAGATTCAGATTCCCTTCACTACACAGAGTACAGCGAAATTCCAAGCATTCCCGATAGTGCAATCACACATAACAGACAGTATAAGTATCATTTTGACAATACAAGCTAAAACTTTTAATATATAATATGTGACCTGCTCTATCGAAATCAGTCGCATTGACCCGAAGACACATTTTGAGTTGTATACACTGTTGGAAAGAGGAGATTCTTAGCTTTCTAATGATATCAGGATTGTTGTTCTACTCCAAATATTAAGCGAAATATGTCACATTATATAATGACTGTCACCGAGTCATCATTTTGAGAAAAAGGCCTTCAAAGTTTCCTCTTCTCTGGAATCCATCGATCTGATTGGTTATTAGCAAATGATCAAAATACTACGGAGGGAAGATATTTTCGTTTGGATTACTGGTCTGGGGAAGCTCGCGAGTGTGTGTGTGTGTGTGTGTGTGTGTGTGTGTGTGTGTATACGTGCGTGTGTGTGTTTGTGTAATTTTGCGTTTGTGTGTATTGTGTTTGTTTCCCGGGGAAAACCCTCACGAGAAACACCGGCTGTTGTTATGCCTGCTGTGACGTTAAATTACTCCGTTCTCTGCTTGTAATTATGCCGAAGCTTCAAAGTTGTATTTATCATCTGAATTTGCCGAAACAAGTTTAATATTGTGAAAGCCAAGACTTTGTTTAATTGAAATCAGATGAAAACAAACTGTAACGGACCCTGCCGTGTTATCTATGATTACTCTACTCTTACATTCATAATGTCAGCCGGAGAGAGGGGTGGCGGCGCTGCGGAAGAGCAGATTGCCTGTCATCTTCCCTTTACAAGCTTAAAGAATGTATTTATCGTGTGAGTTTGGAAATAAAAGTTTCATATTCTGAAAGCCAAGACTTTGTTTGTTTAAAATCACCCCAAAAAAATAGTTTTTTACGCAAATCCACGTTTATTTTGAAATGAGCCGTTGCGACTTCCGACTGATTTCGATAGAGCGGGTCACATATACAAAGTGACTATATTG